CACACAAGTATTTTTTATTTATACAAAAATTATGTTTCCTTTGCATTTCCATTGCATACATTTTTCTTAAAGATATGATTCACACAGCGCTTCATTTTGACCCCAAACTTTTTAATGTATAAACCTTTAACTTGTAAACTTTTTTTTACATTTTATTAAAAAATGCTATTCTGATGAAAGTATACAATTACAAATATGTATTGAACATCATTCATTACTCAGACAAATGAACACACACATACACAAGAGTTGTGTGGAAGAGTCTCCATCAGCTCATATTTCTACTCTGTAGTCTGACTGAGCTCTTTGTTGATGCTGCTATTCATAGACTCTCAGAGAAAGGTGAGCTATGTGTATCGCGAGTAATGTCTCTCTCTCTCAGCTCCTCTGCCACTCTCATCGTCAATCATACTCATTCTAGCTGCCAATATCTCACGTTTTCTTGTAATTAACACAGTGTTGGAACGTTGGTGGCATACTGTGAGAGGTGTGCGTGTGTGTGTCTGCTGGGAGACTGAGGGAATACATGGTGTTTAATTAGTTTAGGTAACGCACCAGTGCTCTGTGTTTAAACTACCTGATTCATGGAATTCATTGATTCATGTGGCTGTTTGCAGTCTGCATATCACAAGCTGTTGCCCCATGTGCACACCAACCAATTAAAAAGTAAGGGTTATGACTTCCTGTTGTCTGTTTTCATTTAGGATGAATGGGTAAATTAAGGTTATGAACAGCTTCTGTTTTTTGTTGACAGAGAGTGTTAGAAATAGCATTATTGGTGTATTGAAACATACACATCCTGTTCTTTGTGTGTGTGTATTTGTGTTTGTTGCACAGTTTTACTTCTACCTTTAACTGAGGGCTTTTATTTAATTAATGCTAACTTTGTCATTTATTTCTTTTGTTAAATATCACTGTTTTGTTTTTGTTTTTTTAAGTTTATTTTATATTTTAAATACTTGCTCTGCCATTTTTTGTGAAAATGTTCAAAATGTCTTTATATGTCTAAAAATACTAGATTTTGTTTACTAAAGCTGAAGTTAAGAAATTAACTTACTGTAAATGCTAAATGTTTAATCATCCCTCTGTCATAAAAATGTAAAATTAAAATATACTAGTACTACACTTACAGTATATGGCTCTCTACATCAATATTGATTATTTTAATGGCTTTGCAATGCAAAGTATGTGAAGACATTAATATGCTACTATGTGTATGCTCTTATAGGCCAGTCTTAAAACACAGCACTCAATTTTATGAAATATGTAGTATTTATATAAAATATAGTGTCCCTGATTAAAGGCTGAAGACCCAAAACCCTTTTACACCCACCAATGAAAATCGAGCCCTGCATTTCGTGTTTCAGACACATGCAATTGCCAAGACCACATTACAAAGCAGTGGAGCAGTTCCTTCAAAGCAAATTAGTATGAATATTTTTAATTCATCCATTTTTAATCTGTTCTTTCCAAGTTGTTCATTTCCATTTTCTCTTCTCTCAGTCTCACTAACGCACATAAATGTAAAAATGTCATTTAAAGCAGTCCACGATTGTCTTTTGTTCTTAATTTAGTTATGTTATTTTCTGTGTGTTTTTGTCTGAATATAGACATTCGTAAGCTGATTTGTGCAAATACATAGACATTAGCGAGATCTGCCTACAAGAAAATGACAGTCATGAATGATTAATGCTTCTATTAAGCAGCACTCTATCCCTCCTCTAAAGACTTATTAATATTAATGAGGCTTAAGTCCTCAGTGAAAGCCGAGGGTTCGGCATCAAATGAATGTGGAGGAAAGTCAGGCACTTGAAGTTGGTCTTGACTTGGCTCTTTGCTTCAGATGGTCTCTGAGCCATTCCTTAGTAGCTCAGTCACGGAAAAGGATGGTGTCCGTTTGTGCTTCACAGAACTGATCTTGGATCAGCCATGAATAATTTTTTTGAACTTTTATATCAGTATTGATGTTTTGGTTTTGAGTTGTTTTTGAGTAATTGACTATTACTGATTATTTCTTTTTATAAATACAACATGTAAAATTACATATACAATATATATTATAGACTAGACTACATAAAACATTATTTTACTATTTTTCATTCATTTAGTATTTTCTTTAATATTTTATTTTAAATTATTTTTGTCATGGGCCACTTAGAAATGCAGTTGCAACCAGCCATGAGTTTGTTTCAAAACATGGACCAAAGCCTCAGGAAATATGGCCTATATACACACACAGGTACACACACCCCAACACACCGAGAGAGACCGTCCACGATGAAAATCATCATGAATAAATGATATTGAGCCTGATAGAAACTTCTCTCCCATCAGAGCTACAACGCTTGTCTAGTACGACACATCCTTTCCACAGTCACATGTCTATTTACAGAAGAGCATTCAGCTCGACTCACTCAACCACAAACTCCAATTTTAAACCGGATGCACCACTTTCAAGTCCCTCGTTCCTTTCTTTCCTTGCTTAAACACTCGCTTGCTTGGCCGAAGTTCAAAACCAAGGCCCTCTTTTCAGGCTTTATCGCAGCCAACCACGGGGACATTTAAGAGCAAATAAAGTGTTTAGTGTGCAGTTTATGCAGCAAGAAACAAGTCATAAGCTGAGTTTTATCAAGCCCATAAATTGCATCTCGGTGTAAATTTGGGACGTGCTTGAATCAGCTGAAAAGACTCCAATCCCGGTAACAAATCACACCTTTCATCCTCCTGCTGCACACTTTCATTACAGCTTCCTAATTATACGCAGCAACTGAGTGCGTGAAAACCCTCCGAGGACAGGAAATACATCCCCGTTTAGACTTGAACATGTTGGTGTTAAGCATTAGCTTTTCTGCATTACTTAATGAAAGAAGCACACATTAACAGTTTTTACCTGCAAGAGGACATGATGCCCAGGTGCAGGGTCGGCGCCAGAGTGCACAAAGTGAGGGGACAGGCGCAATTTATTGGGGGGGCTGCTTTGAAAAAAAAAATGTTTCTGAAAGGTTTCTTAATAATGTGGCTCTAATTAACTATTAATTAACTCTTAGGATAGGAGGAACCTGTGCCTGTGTCACACACACACACGTGTGTGTGAGAGAGAGAGAGAGAGAGAGAGATCACACTCACACACACACACACACACACACACACACACAAATGCACATGCAGCACATACTAGCAACCAGGGTCAGCGCAAGAGCGCACAAAGTGAGGGGGCAGGCACAATTTTTTGGGGGGGCCACGTTTTTTTTGTACTTGTAAATAAAATAATCTGATATACAGTATATGTACAATTTAATAACATATAGCCTATTTTGATATATGAACTGCAAAAATTGCATGCGGTCTGAGATTCCCGTGTTTACAGCTCCGTAAAATAACCTACTGGAAGCACTGTAGGTTTGCTGTATAGGCCTATAGCTAACAATATAAAAATTACAAACACACAATAACATTTTAAATTACTTCCATTTCTGAAAAAAAGAATGTAGGCCTAGTAATTGATGTTATAAATACACACGCCTGATGTTTGTTTTAATTATCCATCGTACATAAAAAAAATAAAATAAAAAAAACCCATTTGCAATCAAGACTGAAAAAAGTGAATGTAAACCAGATTTGGCCCAGACTCTGTTGCTATCTGTGAAGCCAAGCATAAGAATAGCCTACTAATGTAAATTTGTTAACCCACAGTAACACAGTAACAGCAGGCCTAATAATGTTATAATGTAATAACATTATGAACACTATAGGATATTTTAGATATCATAATGAGCAAAAATATGCCACAGTGGACCGGGTCTCACGCCGAACGGCACGGTGAACGGCTGCGCTGTTTCCAATGAATGCAGTAGCTTAGTGTGCGCGTGAGGCACACTATGGGCGTGGAATGCGAGACGCCTAGTGGGCTACTTTTGGTAAGCAGAACTGGCGCTGCGGGATGAACCGAACTTCAGCGATGTTTCAGCGATCAAACAGCTGAAACATAAAATAGACTACTCCGTAATTTTTGGTCATACAGTAAAGGCATAATTCGAAACTGCAAAGTGCAAAGTGTTAGCAGTTTGAAAATTCAAGAATAATAGCAAAGTTAATAAGAATTATTTCTAAATGCAGCACCGTTCTTATTTCGCTCTGCATAACCTGAACGGGAAAAAAAACATTTTTTTGCTAAGAACGAACCGAAATGAAAACATTTCGCTTTTAATCTGTGTATTTAACAGCCTGGGAGACCTTCCCATGGCAGTACCTTGCCTCACCGACTAAAATCAGGGCGCCCACTACGGAGACGGCACCAGAGGTGAGGGGGCACAGTGACCGAGGTGGCCGGGCCGGCCCCCTCAGGCCCCCCCGTGGCGCCGACGCTGCCCAGGTGCATGTTGGGTAAGGAGCATCCAGGCAGGGCTACTGCTTTAAAAAAGCATGCATTAAGAATGAAGAGACTTCCTGTTTGTCCCTGAGCCACTCTTAAGACATGACACTGGCCCGTGTCTGTGTGCATGTGTCCATATAACTCAAAGCCAAACAACCCATGAGAACTCTGAAGATCTTCTCAAGAAGTTCACGTTCTCATTCCACGGCCGGAATCCAGACACTCACTTTTGTAATGATGGTGAAATTGCAGTCGGGCACAAATTGTAGCTCTGGAACCAGTAGCTGTGTGGAGGAGGATGCCGTCTGCTGGGTCAAACAAGGCTTTGCTTTCTCCTTCGAGTGGGCGGATGAGACTTTGAAGTACTGAGTCAGTGCGAGAGATATTTATGCTCTATGAATAAAGCCCATTTGATGTCTGTAATGGCTAGTCAGAACAGCACCACGCTCGGGGTGAAGCTGGAATCTGACGCCTAGACTATTATCACATGAGCTGATGAGATTTAATCTACAGATGAAAGCACTGCCGCCAGTGTATACCACCATGCTTTCATTTATTTACTTGATTGTTTTATTATTTAGAGCATAAAAAATAAGGATACATCTGTAAGGATATATCTATGTAATCTGTAAAGAAGATGTGAATATGTTTGGAGTTGAATAGTGGTACTGCTTTCTGTGATGTAAATTATATACTGCATACTAGTTTTAAATATTAATACTATGCAGTATGCATAAATGTTTCAGATACATAACCTCACAATGTAGATGATGTCCTAGTTATAATTTACATTTTTTTTATATTATATTATATTATATATATATTATTTTTTATATTTATCTAATTATTTTTTATAATATTTTATAAAATTATTATACTGTAATTTTATAATAAATATATATAGAAAGATGTCCTTTTTTATTTTATTTAATTTTATTTTATTTTAGCATTTCAAGAAGAAACACAAGCCAAATGTGCAGTATGCAACAGAAATTAAGCGTTAGCGTTAGTTCTGGCAGGTCACGTGAGTCAAGCTGTGATTCTCAGCTGATCACATCTACCTATAGGAATACGACACATATCGCGACATTCCTATATAAGCTCTATTCAGTATTATTCTGCAGCTTTTCAGCTTGCTCAGGAGCAAATTACCCTCCTCCATCCCCAGCTCCTCCTTTCGCCACAGTCAGGACTTGGCTTTCTGATATTCCTTGCTAATCAGACTCCTTTATCTTGAATAAAGTGTTACACTTAAATATCATTAAGTACATTAATGATATCTGCCTTGTTCTGTTCTGTTAACCCTAGGGGGGTTATTATTGCTGCTCTCCCTGCTCATTCATGACAGGCTGCATGGATGGGCTGGGAGGTTTTTGCCCAGAACAGAACCATACCGCCAAACCAAACTTTATGCTAAGTATCTATCATTTTGACGATAGTGGTCCTGACAGAAGTAATATAAATTGGATTTTATTTTTTCATGTATAATTATTTGATCAAACTGTTGAAATCTTTTAAATAAATAAATGTTTTTGCTCTACTATGAAATTATGTATTTGTAACATGTATATGTATATGTTTTTTTAAACGTAGTATGCAGTATACACATGCATTAAAAATACTGGTTTACTATACATTGCATACATATATATGACATTTATTTTTATTTTTGTTTGTCATCCTGATCATACCCACATTGTGTTCTGGCATCAAGTCTGTATTATTTCAGCAGTTTATTTCGTTTTCTGTAGTTAGTTTGTTTTAGTTATAGTCAGACTGATGCTGACTCGTACCGATATGGATATATTTAGCATTCCATTCTTCCTCTTATTGTTCCAGTCCTGTTCCCAAAAAGCAATAAAAGATTCATATACTTCCACCGTAAGGTTCACTAGTGACACACTTTACATCCTAACTGATTAATGTCCACTAAACTCTCACCGATACGCTCCTCCCGTTGAGCGACTGCACTTCCCACATCACACTGCTCTAGATCAGTATACAGGCACATTTAGAAGATGCTCTTACTTTAATCATGTTGGTTTTACTTCCACATGACTGCACACAAATGGTTTATTGATTGTGTATGTAGTAGCTGAACTGTGCATCTCTGCCTCTCTCTCAGTGATATTTGGATCTGGAGAGGGTCCAGGGCTGACCTTCTCTTGGGCTTTAACAGCACAGAAGGCTTTTTGGCACCCAGAGCCAAGGTCACGCTGAGTGGCCATATTGTATTTTATGAGAGGGTGGGCTGCTCCGAGGGCTAAAATGGCCTCATGTTAGATTTATTGCCTGTGGCAACAGCATGCAGATCTGCTTCTGTTATGCAGATATATATTTGTGTCTTTCCTGATGTTTTTGTGTTAAAACATTTCAAGTGTTCAATTTTTAAAGTGTTAGTTCACACAAAAATGAAACTTCTGCCATCATTTACTCACCCTCATGTCATTCCAAACTTGTATGAGTTATATTTACACTAGCATTCAAAAAAGTAAGAAAGTGTTCAAATTAATACTTTTGTTTACCACAGATGCATTAAATTGATTAAAAGTGACAGTACATACATTTATAATATAGCAAAATATTTTTATTTTAAATAAATGCTGTTACTTTGAACTTTCTATTCAGGATACTGAAAAAAGTATCACACTACCTACAAAAAAAATATGAAGCTGCACAACTATTTTCAACATTTATACTAAAAAGTTTTTTTTAATACCAATTCAAAAGATTTCTGAAGTAGCATGTGACACTGAAAACTAGCATAATGGCTACTGCACATTCAGCTTTGCTATTACTGGGAAAAAAAATACATTTTAAAATATATTAAGATAGAAAAGTTATTTTGGTTACACTTTATTTCAAGGTGTCCTTGTTAAAGTGTACTTATACATTTAAGTACTGAGTAATATTAATTAACTACATGTACATACTATATGGGTAGGTTTAGGATTAGGGTTTGGTTTAGGGTTACTTGCATGTAATTATGCATAATTAATTGTTATTATAATAGTAAGTACATCTAAAATGTGTAATAAGGACACCTTAAAATAAAGTGATACCGTTATTTTAAAGTAGAATAATATTTCACAGTATTGCTGTTTTGCTATATTTTCTTATCAAATAAATACAGCCTTGGTGAGCATAAGAAACATATTTGAAAAAAAAAATTATCAACCCCAAACTTGCGAATGGTGGTAATATATCTTTACTTTATTGCAAAATATTCAAGTTTTTCCAAAACAATGACTGATTGAATGATTCACTAAATGAATCAATTACTGAATGTCTTTTCCTCTCTTGTTTCAGGTGACCCCAGTGGCCGGACCACCAGAAGGGGGCACCAGAGTGACCATCCGTGGTGTAAACCTGGGCTTGTCCTTCTCAGACATGGTCAGCAATGTGCAGGTAGCAGGAGTCCAGTGCACCCCACAGGAGAACGGCTACATTATTGCTGAACAGTGAGTGACTGTAGAGCTGTAAAACTCAGATGAATTAATGCTGTGCAAGTGTGTCTGAGATTAGAATGGAAAAAAATGGTTTAGTTTATATTTAATCTTTCTCGAAATAGCAAGAGCTTGAAAGATAATGTCCTACATTACACATACTGAGAAGCTGTTTCAAGGGGAAAAAAACACCTCAGGTTTTCATCCAGTTCACTTTAAAGCACAGCAGGATTGAGTCCATTAAACACACACAGTATCCAATGAACACGACTTTGATGTCACAAGCGTAAAGCGACCAATCAGGGCTAAGTATGAAAGGCAGGGTTGGTCATGGCCTTCTCCTTTATGCTCTATTGAGTCCGTCTTATCTGACAGAAACATCTTAACAATGGCAGGGAAACATTTCTATCTGAAGGGCTGGTTGTCAGCAGTGACCAGGGCTCTTGTGAAGCAGAAACAAGCCCAAATTAGAGTCCAGACAGACCTGGGTTGGTCTCTGTCTGCAGTAGGTCCCATTTTTCAGCATATGTTTGTGTTTATCCCTGCGATTGTGTCATTAACCCTGTCTGTAAATATCCTTAAGCCAGGATTTCATCATTAATATTAAACCTCCTGAGGGAAAATTTCAGCTAGAGGAGCTAAAACTTGATGATTTGTAGTATTAGTTTTTGCTAGGACATGCAGAAAAATGGCTGCACTCAGCTTTTTTTGTCTACATTTTTTTGACCAGCCATTAAAAAAAGAAATTGGGTTAAAAGGTGAAATGTGTAATGTCCAGTGCTGGGGAAAGTTACTTTTAAAAGTAATGCATTACAATATTGCGTTACCCCCTAAAAAGTAACTAATTACGTTACTTAGTTACTTTTTATGGAAAGTAATGTGTTACGTTACTTTTGAGTTACTTTTTAAATTTGGGCAGGGCTTGCTTGTTTGTTTTTAATATAAAAAAGTTCTTCTTTTATAAATGTAAAAGCCCTTTTCACAACAAAAGTTAAATGAATACACCTCAGGCTGAAGGAAATGTAAATTCATGTCTGTACAGTAGAGGGCGCATCTCAAACAAATTGCATGAAGAATATGACACAGGAGAAGAAAGTTCAACACTCTTCAGCAATAACAAAAATGAAACACAAATGTGTCATTTTTGCTTAGTATGGTTGAATTGGATCATTGAGGATCAGTAGCAAAGACGTTGGTTAATAAAATGGGATTAAATACATAAATGATATTTGTCTTATTAAACATAACATTATTGCAGGTTTGTATAATATTCTGAGTTTTCCTTTGACTGTTTTTATTCATTTTGAGTAATACTGAATCTGTTTTTGTGCAGGTGAGATGAGTAAATACATGTTCATATTTAGTCTAGAACTACAATAAGCATCATGTTCACACAGCACACAACGCCTCTGCACTTACTCCCATTTTCTCTCAACATGGTAACACGAGAGCTGTCAGTCAAGACATGGGAAACAAAGTAACTGGCGTTACTTATTTGAAAAAGTAACTCAGATATTTCCTTCTAAATTAAAAAGTAATGCGTTACTTTACTAGTTACTTCAAAAAAGTAATCTGATTATGTAACTCGCGTTACTTGTAATGCGTTACCCCCAACACTGGTAATTTCTGCTCGCTAGCATTACAGAATTGCAAAAATAATGTTTGTTTTCAAGCAGGTTTCCTTTAAACACTCCCCTCATCTTTGATTGGCCAGACAAACAGCCCCAAACTTACGTCATTGGTTGAGCTGTTGCTGTGTCAAGCTTGTCAGAATTCTTAAACAAAGATGTTTTGAAATCTCCACAGTGTTTAGGCTTTGAAGAACTCAACCTACAGGTTTAGTTATAGTTGTCTCTGCATATTAAACTGTAATAGAAGAAAGTATATTAACATGAAAATAATTTCATCTTTAAATTACCCAGCATGTATTTAGTGCTCTTTATTCTTCACGCAATATTAAACCTACACTCCTCATGATTTATCGCTCTTTGTCCTCACCTTACTGTCTTTTGCTCAATAAAAATGTATGGTACATCTCAGAACTGACAGCTAGCTGCATATTATTGAGATACTATTATAGTTTTTATTAATATTTTGAATTGGTTTCTGTTTCCTGTTTTTATTTTTATTTTAATTTTAGTTAAAGTTTTAGTAATTTGTTGTTTTTATTAGTTTTTGTTTTTTAAAAATGCCTAAATAAAATTAATTGAAACTATAAAATTGAGAACTAGAATAAATAAAACAAATGTACGTTTTTTTTTTAATTAATATAATTCATTTTATTTTATTTCAGTCAAAGTTTAAGTAACAAAAATGTTTTTTAATGGTTTTAATTTTAGTTGACTATAATAACCCTGCTGTGAGCACTGTATCACTGTATCCAGCTATCTTTATTCTTGAGAGAAACAGACATCACCATGTCCAGTTCAACAGAATGTGATATGCAATTCTACGTTGCATTATAACTCACCCTGACCTTATTGTACACAGGCATTCTGAACGTTTGGCTTTCAAGCATTTATGCCATCGTGTTGTAAGGGTGTATAAATAGCGTGTAGTGTCTGCGTTCAGGTGGAGTATGTCTCCACAGCACCTCTCTTTGCTGCTGAGGTGGGGACAGACGGTGCGAGGGAGAAACGTGTGGTAATTGAAATGCGCAGCGTGCTGCCTGCTGTAGGAGGGAGATTTGTCAGCCCTTCTCTCTTCTGACAGCAGTTTAATCCGAGCGGGACGAAGCCGAGCCGAGTGGGAGTGGATTTATTTGTATGGCGTGGCGAAGGGGTGTCACGAGGAAATGGAGAATGCGCCATTGGACCCAATCAAACCCACAAATGGAAACGGGAGGCCACGTATCTGTGTTTTAACAGTTCTGTCTGGTCGTTTTGTACAAAAATTGTACACATTAAGACACCCAAGCTTGCTGAAGATTATCTTATCCATTTTTTATGTGAGTTTTTATGTATCATGGCTTATTTCAAAGTATGTGCACAAACTTGTACTAGGTTTGAGGTCACATTAGCGAAATTTCGCAAGCAAAAAGGTCCATTGTTTATTGTCAATGGTGTAGCAATGGATGAAGCACAGCTCACACAGAAGTCACTTTCAAATCAACTTTGTTGCTCAGCAAATTCACGTGACCAAATTAAACCTTTTACGAAATGTAGGAATCTTGCGCCTTCACAAAATTTCCAATTACATGGATTCCTATATTAATGACTGGATTTTCAAGGTAAATGTGACTGCACCTTTACATGGCTACTTTTGAATGGCTGTCAGTGGAGAAAGGTGCTTTTTCGTCCGCAAAATGGTGTAATAACAGCATCTGCCTGCTAATTTCCGAAGCCCACCAGCCAAACTTGCACCACGCAGCAGCAGTGATTGAGCATCCAAACTTGCTTCCCAACTTTAATTGCCTTAGAAGTAAAAGTCCTCCAGTCAGTGTGATTGAGAGGGCATAATGTGCGCTGTGAACAGCTGTGAACGCTGTCTGCCGAGCCTGTCGTTATTCAATGGTGGAAATTACAATTTAAGAAAAGGAAAATTATAAAGATGACAGATTTCTCTTGAGATGTATATGTCCACTATTGGACTACTAGGTTAGCGTAAATAAACCAGTATGGAAAATGTGTTTTAAAAGAAGTTATTTCCCCAAAAGAACACTCATATGCAGTGTAGAACCTGCTGGAACATATGGTTTTGTTGCTTCAAAAGCATGGCATGTCTATGCATCGGCATTCCCGTAGGGTGATCTTGTCAATTCAGCTAATGGAATGTGTGCGCTAAAGCAATCAAGGAACCAAAGCAAAACCTACACTGAGATCAAGAGGAAATCAATTTAGAGAGAGAGGAAGAGTCGCATACTGATCACTCAGCGGGACTGGAGATGACTTCCAGTGCTTTGGTTCCTCACTCTGGAGTCAGTCCAGAAACATTGTGCTTTGTAATCCAGTGAACCTGGATCTCCTTGTACAGAAGTTATGACTTTCATTTAAACCAAGGTTAAAAATTTTACTTATTGTGTTTTTCTTCTTTTTCAGGATTGTGTGTGAGATGGATGCAGCTCCCACTGACAGTAAACCCGGCCCGGTTCATTTGTGTGTAGGGGAGTGTAAGCCGGAGCTCCAGACGCGCTCTTCTCAACTCTATTCCTTTGTGGTAAGACCTTGAGCTCTGCTACATCTGAATAATGCAGTGAGGTAGTGGTGAACCTGGCCCTTGTTTTGGTTTTATTAAACTGAGCTTTACTTGGTCCATTGAAGAGAACTTACGGGTCACTGTGACGTTATGCCTTTGGACAGGTGAACCTTGCTGAGGTTGCTTTGTTCTCAGAAGCGCTTTAACAGTGAAAATGTCAAATCACAGGAAGTGACTCAGAGCTCAACATACTGTACTTCCAACTGTTCAAATAGCTACTCTTTAGGAACAAAGACTTCCTTCTGCACCGATTCATATGGCATGAAGTCCATATCTTCATCAGTCATCCATTTTAAATATATATATATATATATATATTCCGTACCCACTGTATATATATATACACACACACACACACACACTGTATATCAATTAAATTAGTACCTGTATATATTACATATATGAATGTACACTGTGTGTCTGTGTGTTCTGACACTATAATATCATGCTTAATATTTTTCCTCACAAAACGAAATACAGATTTGCAATTAATCTCAATTCTCAGTTTTTAAGAGCAGAATAAAAAATCATATGGTAATATTGTCAAATACTCAGTAAATGCATTAAGAAATTGATTGCACTACACATACTTTATTGAATTTGAGTTTGACAGCACTAAAAATACATTGTATTTTTTTCTCCCTTTTCGAGTTTGAAAACTCCTCCTTTTCTCAAATAATAACTGCTTTATATATAAAATGCTGCTTTATATATTTTGCTGCTTTATATATTTTTTTACATTTTACCTTATTTGTATATTTGTATAGTTGTATTTTATATTTAATCTGTATCTATCTGTATTTATGTTCTACTGTTAGTGTTATCTGTATGCACCAAGGGTCTGAGAGTAACGCAATTTCAATTCTCTGTGTGTATGTGCTGTACATGTGGAAGAATTGACAATAAAGCAGACTTGACTTGACTTGACTTGATAACATTGTACTGTAATAGAACATGTCCTAGACTACAGTATATACAACCTCATACTCTTCATACTTTTTTTGTTTGTGTAAGCAAATTTGACGCAAACCAGTACTATATTTATAATATATTTACATTTTAGTAGCAGGATTGTTTGTATCTGTCCAGACAGCTATGTAGAAATCACTCCATTAATGTGTTGGGACAGTCTCTCCATGCAAATTTAGACTCATTAAAAGCCATAAGGTCGATAAATTAACCTTTTTATGGCTCGCATGGCATTATTATCAGCTAATTGTTCTATTTAGCCCTTTTTAAAGTAGTATTTTTGTGCACTTTCAGTAGATTCTTAAATGATGTTGAGGATTAGTGGTTAATAGCATTATTTGCACGTGTATTTGCCAAGGCATTAAAAGAAAAGCGTGTTTATTGAACTAATGCACTCATCAAGCACAAAAGACTCGAGATATGCCATAAAAACTTGCTAATTTACAGATTGCCGCTGCGTTTGTCATTATTATTGGTAAAACAGCAGCCCTGCTTCCTCCGTTAAGAAGCGAAGCTCTCGTCAGCATAATAGAACTTGTTCTCGGTTATTAAAAAATTGAGTGATTATGAACACGAAGCACCACCGGGAGCGCACATTGAACATGGAGACAATAAAAGCCATTAAGCGAATCAAAGGAAGGATGGTTGGCATGTTGTCTCGTCGCAGAGGAGCACCTGTGGGAACTCTTGCGCACCTGTCTGAAACACCCATCCGCCGGCCTGGGGTTAATAGATAATCAACAGCAGCATTCACACGCACACTAAGGCCAACAATTATCCATACCACCACAATTAACAGCCTCTGCTAATTAGGGGAGCTGTTTATTTACAATATGCGCTTCAGCCCTTTCCTGTATGCGTTTATGCATGTTTGTGTGAGCGTGCGTGTGATTTTCCTGCACGCCTTTCATATCGCAGTCAAATATAAAAGCAGCATGTTATCTGAAAAGCTCTGCCAAATGTTGTCGGACAACACGGGGTCCCCGAGCGGCCCACCAGTTGTAGAACAATACGAGGCGAGACCAAAATTGGTGTTCATTCATTTTTAGTCAATGCACGTGTGAAGTCGGTCACAAGCTTTCTTAAGACACAGAGCTGTCTGTTTCTGTGTTTCTCCATCTGCTATTTTCAGTCCCTGCGTACAATAAAGGAAGAGAATTGGGAACTAGAGAGTTTATGTACAACATTTTAAAAGCCTTTTATTTATCCTCAGACGTGTTTTTCATGAGCTCGCATCACTTAGACAAGACTGGAAATGGCATTTCTTTTGTAGCGTTCGCTCTTTATTTGTGAGCTGAGCAGAAGGCGTATGAGGTTTATAAAGGACAGTTGTTATTTACAAACGTAGCTGTTGTAAGAAAAATGATGAGGACAATGAAGATCTCGATGAAGATGTTTATTGCAGCATAGCAGTGACAAAGTTCTTCTTCTCTATAATAATTAAGCCATTTTGGGAAATGAGTATGATCAAACATATTATGGAGTGGAATTTGGGTCGGGGCAGACTATAGATTCTTACACTGTCTTTTGTGGAACAGCCACCCACATCTAGGCAGCTTCAGATTCAAAACATGCATGTCTTCAGCTGATTCAGAATGCTGCGCTGTCATGTCTGTGCTTCTAGTGACACTTTACGGAATTAATTAAATAATTAAATATTTTATTATATTTATATTACAGTATGTGCTTGTTTTTTTTCTAAAAGAAATTAATGCTTTTATTCAGAAATTATGCATTAAATTGATTATAATGGACAGTATATACATTTTAAAGTGCCCTATTATGGATTTTTGAAAATTACCTTTCATGCAGTGTGTATCACAGCTCTAAGTGAATGAAAACATCCTGCAAAGTTTAAAATTTGAAAGTGCACCGTGTATAGTTATTGTCTCTCAAAAGAAAGAGTCGACTCGGAGTCATTTAAACAAGTCATTTTTAAAACGAATCCCACGCCATTTCATGTTGACGTCAACATGAAACATTAGCATATTGCCCGCACACCTGAAAACTTGAACCCCCCCTCCATCAAACACTGACGCTGTGCTCTGCACTGTGAGGGTAAATCCGTTTTTTTACTGCCAAAGGACGAGGCTGTGAAGAATCAATGGTTAAAGTTCATTTTTACAGCAGTATAGCCCCAACCTTGTGTTGTGACCCCGTCATTTTACTGATGACTGCTACAGCAACCTAAATGCGTACAACGCGGGATTCGCAGGCCGGTTGTTAATGAAGGAAGGATCAGAACCCAGTTTATTTGGACCAGCTTCTTCCTCCGAATCACAACCTATAAGTATGATTAAAAATGGTTGCTCTCATGTTCTCTGTAGCATGCAAAATACGTATTTAGTTTTGTGTGTTATGTTCGCTGGGTCATGGGACCAATCACCGAAGATTAGCGTCACGCAAAGGAGGGGTTTGGAAAAATGAATCGTTGAGCGAATCGTTTGGGAGTCGTTGAGCAAATAAAGTAAAAATAAATGCATATTATAAGACAATGAAAGTGTTTTTTGACCTTGCATGCATGTCAACCTATTGTTGGGGACACCCAAAACCAAAATATG